TGGACTGATAAATAATCCACAATTATATCAATATTAATAGCATCATTTCATCAAGTGTTTTCAAGATATTTAATATTAATGATCGATTGCTAGAGAAAGGCTATTAGAAAGTTCGTTAATAGAAAATCGTAAAATGTGTTGGTTGTTCCTCCCGCGAAGAGACGAAGAGATGTATTCGCGTTTCGGAGGATCAAGGACGCGTCTCGGTGAGTGCAGATTAAAGGACACGCTTTCACGAGCAGACGAAATTCGTTTGCATACGCATGAGATTTTTAAATGTCACATCGCATCTGGCCATTCGCGATCGTACGTGTGTTATCACGTCCAGAACTCAGTTCGCACGTTCGCCGTCTATGACACGTACATTTTGAAAGTGGATTAAATATGACGCTTGGTCGGACGCTTTGAGCAGCGACGCTTTCACGTATCAATGTATTAATTTGAAAGGAGACGTAGTATATGCATATTGAAAGATAAAGACGGAAATTGGAGAATCACAATCGCGTGAGAAGAATTTCGATAGCAATGAGTACATCGAATGAGATCTTATATTCAAAATATTATAATATCGATATCGATAGGACTTTGATATCGAAAATCTATGAAAATCTATTAAGGATTTTTGATATTAAATATCTACGATACCGAGGTAATAAAATTTAAAGATTTACGATGTTGAAGATCTAGCTTAGAAATAGTAGTAACTTTGATGTATCTGCTTTATCGAAGATTTATAATATCATAATTGTCGGTTTCACCTAACTGATAACCGAAGATCTAAGGCATCGACAATTATATGATATTACATACATTTTATGGTACTACAGATCGATGACCCCCAAAGATTTACGATGTCAAGCATAACGATGATAACGAATATCGAGAATTTACCGAAGATGTAAGAATATCATACAAGAGGAATTTAATAAAAAAGAAAAAAAAAGAAGAATGATATAAATCTACATTGTAAAGATTTTAATTTTTTAAGAAAGAAACTATATCGCTCGTTTCTTTTTACTTTCGAAACAGCACGCTCGATTTTATTTAATGAAATTTAGTTTATATGAATATTTGATGTTGCTCTATTCAAATTTATAAGATTAAAAATATAAAATTCAGACAAATTCAAGTCTCTAATTATGAACCCTATGACCCTAAAATTCCTTCTTCTTTAAAAACTATATTATTTTTTTTGAACTGTGATATTTTCCAAATTTAATTTAAGATCTTAAAACTAAAAATTTCACGTTAATTGGATTAATTTCTTGAAATTTGATTTAAACCATTGAAACCATTTTAGATTCTTTTCTAAAAATCTATTCGGAATTTTGAAATTCTTTTCAGGTCAAAAAATCAATTTCAGAATTGATTTCGATCTCGAAAATTCTTGGAAAACAAGGCGTAAATTATATTGTATTAAAAAATTTCCAAATTAATACAACAACAAAGAATTATAAGATATAAGAATTTATAAGTTTGCAAAGGATTATAGCATGGAGGATTTATATACGGAGGGGAAAAAAAAAA